AAACCTACTCATCAAAATAAAGAAGAAAAACATAACGTCTCAGTAAAAACAAAACCTACAAAAACAAAAGAAATGAAAAAAAAAATCCACAAACAAAACAAACTCAGTACAGGAGAGTAAGAGGAACAAAGAAAACGACACCACCACAAAAAAAAAGCACTAGAAAATGCAATCCCACTCCTAGGAATATATGCTAGAGAAATAAGAGACGTCATACGAATAGACATATGCACACCCATATTCACTGCAGCACTGTTCACAATAGCAAAAAGATGGAAACAATCTAGATGCCCATCAACCGATGAATGAATAAACTATGACACATACACACAATGGAGTATTATGCAAAGATAAAGAACAATGATGAATCTGTGAAGCATCTTATAACATGGATGAAACTGGAGGACATTATGCTGAGTGAAATAAGACAATCACGAAAGGACAAATTTTGTATGAGACTGCTACTGTAAAAGTTTACACAAAAAGAAACAATCGTTGTTGGTTACAAGGGATGGGAGGAGTAGGGGGAACTAAATAGATAAGTGGTAACTCTGGTGAAGGGTAAGACAGCACACAATACTGTGGAAGCCAGCACAATGTGTACAAGGAAAGGTCATGGAAACTCCGTAGATACTTCCAAACTCCCTGAGGGACTGAATTGCTGGGCGGAGGGCTGTGGGGACCATGGTCTCAGGGAACATCTAGCTCAACTGGCATAACACTGTTTATAAAGACAATGTTCTACATTCTACCTTGGTGAATAGCGTCTGGAGTCTTAAAAGCCTGTGCGCAGCCATCTAAAATACTCCACTGGTATCAACCCTTCGGGAGCAAGGGAAAATGAAGAGAACAAGATACAAGGAAAAGATCAGTCCAAAGGACTAATGGACCACGGCTACCAAGGCCTCCACCAGACTGAGCCCAGTACAGCTAGATGGTGTCCGGCTACCGCCACTGACTGCTCTGACCTGGATCACAATAGGGGGACCTGGACAGAGCTGGAAAAGGATGTAGAAAAAAATTCTGACTCACAAAAAAAAGACCAGATTTACTGGCCTGACTGGAGAAACCCCAAGAGTATGGCCCCAGGACACCATTTTAGCTCAGTGGTGAAGTCACTCCCGAAGTTCACCATTCAGCCAGGGATTGGACAGCCACATAAAACAAAACGGGACTAATGAGGCACAACAGTCCAAGGACAAGGACTAGAAGGCAGGAGGGGACAGGAAAGCTGGTGATAGGGAACCCAAGGTTGAGATAGGACAGTGTTGACATGTCGTGGGGTTGTTAATCATTGTCATAGGGCAATATGTGTACTAACTGTTTAATGAGAAACTATTTGTTCTGTACATCTTCATCTAAGGTACAGAAAAAAAGAAAGAATTATCTATGTGAGATCAAATTGACAACAGCAACTTAAAATGTTTGATGGGAAACGTAGGGGGCAGTGAGTTGAAGATAATGGTGATGGAATAATTTGGAAAAGGACAGTGAGAATAGCAGCACAACTGGAAGAACGTAATCAATGTCACTGAATTGTACATGTAGAAACTTTTGAAATGCTATAACTTTGGCTATGTATATTTTCACCCAAAAAAAGGTCCTCCAAGGTCAAGAAGGGAGAGTGTTGACCTGTCATGGGGTTGTTAACCAATGTCATAAAACAATATGTGTACTGACTGTTTAATGAGAAACTATTCTGTAAATTTTCATCTAAAGCACAATAAAAAAAAAAAGCATGATACTTAAAAAAAAAAGCTATAAGCTACAAATGAATAAAATGGCATAAAGAATGTAATTTAAAAGAAACTAAAACCTCAGAATGGTAACGTATCACTTACTAAGAAGAATGAAGAAAAGCTTGCTGCTTAGGCTGGTCATTGCACTGAAATGGTCATTGTCCTTAGTTCGAACATAATCCATACTTAAACTCTCCTTATTTTTCAATGTATATGATTTTGCCATAGGAACGTTGAGTACACTAAAGGAATCACTTGGTGAAACAGAGATAGTAAGTCCAAGAGAATTTATAATCATAAATGGTGCTAAATCCTTTAAGAAGACATCTGAAGATCCAGTAGCAGCTTCTGTAAATGCCTAATAAAAAAAAAAAGATCTTAAATAAAACACTGTACGAATAAAATGTGGAAAATTAAATGCCTAGGAGAACACCAATGGACACATGTGAACAAACTAACCATAATCTTTATTTAACAAAAGAAAGGGTCAATGCAGACTAGGATCCATCACTGAAAGTTTCAAATTTCTTTTCTTACCTTGCCTAAATTGTTTAACATTACAAGGCCACACTTGGATAATGTAATGTTTAGTTGATCTTTTGAATAGAAAGTGAAGATAGTTTTATATTCTGGCACTCTGTAGTTTTCTTCTTCAGTATCTGATTCAACAATGGCTTTCTTTGTTTTCTTTTTCATCTAAAACGACAAATTAATTATAAAAATATAAGAAAAACTTGTTCTTAGGAGCACAACATAACTCATTTTACAAAGTAAAAACAAACTTTAGACCAATCCCAATAATAGCATTAGAAAGAGGAATGTATTTTATCAGTTCTGCTTCCTTACTGGAAACACTTGGAAATCACCAACAAAGGTGACATGGGAGAGGGGCAGTATTGGAGGGAAAAAAAAATCTCCTATCATCAGTGATAACAGTAGTCACAAATTAGAAGGGAAAATAAAATTACTAAGTGCATATGAAGTATGACTAAAAATTAAAAGCATATACATCATAGCAATATGGAAATTTAGAGTAAGAAAAGGGGTCATATTTAGTCTTTCGATCATATTGTAAATGAAGAACTAAAACCTAGGGACTTACAAAGTCAGACGATTAGTGACAAAACGGTGCAGTATACCTAGGACTCATGAGAATACCTCTTTTTAGGATTCACAAATTCACTGTCCAAGTATCTTCTGGCTTAAAAACAGTCAAAGGAGTTCCTTTACCTAAATCCTTTATCTGAAATATGTGATAATCAAATTTAATGGTCTAATACCAAAAAAAGCAGGACATGTCAAGCCAGCCACCTCTGTTGTTACTTTAACTGGCTCTAAGCTACTGAAAATTTGTCTGCAGGTTGACTGAACTATTACTAAGCAGGGGACATGCTAGTTGTTAATCTATAGTTTCCTGCTTCAGAAACATAATTTCATCCATCTAAAGGCCCTGATTCTCATGATTAAATACATTCACAAAATATTTTAAACAGATAACAATATAACTTCTATAAATTATCATCAGAGGACAAAGGAAACTCGGGATACACAACAACCTACAAGAAAAGGATAGAGGCATTACAACACAGTGGTTAAGAGTGAGGACTCTACAGTTGGGTTTGCATCTCAACTCTTCCACTTTCTAGCTATTATTACTTTCAGGAAATCCCTTAACCTCTCTGGTCTCAGTTCACATGTTAAAGTGAGGATTAAAAACTGTATCTTCTTCAGAGGGTTGTTATAAGGGTTAAATCAAAGATACGGTACTTAGAACAGTTTCTCCTGCAAAATAAATGTTATATAACTATTTGTATTAGAAACTTAGGAGGTATCAGCCTTGGATTTGAAAAATACATTCAGAGTCAAACAGGGGAGCATGTAAGGCAAGGCTCATAATGAGAAAACTTCAACTTTGTTGTGATTAAAATTAACTCATGTCTCAGGTGATGTTAACATTTTCAATTTCTGACGTTTATTTTTCAGACTTCAAATATACCTTGAATGCAAGATTCCATGGTCTAAAATCCTCTGTCTGTTCAATTTCTAAGGGTTCCAGCAAAGGCTCCCATACACCAAACATTTCATTGTAATAATGCACCTACAGAGAGAATTTTAATTTTTTTTTAATGAGGTATTCTGATATTTTCTGAAACTATCTTCCATGCTGTTTCCCACCACCACGTTTTTGGCTGCACTATTTCTTCTATATGAAAAATGTCTTACGTACCATTAAGTCGCTTTCTACACATACTCCCTTAGTGCTTTCCTCACCTGGCTAAACTCACACTCCATACTCACCCTTCAAAATTTAGTTCAGGTAAAACTCTCTTCTTAGCATTTTCCCTTGACTTCCAGGTTGGGCTAAGCATCAAACACTATGTTCACCTATCGTGTATCACTGACATTTTTTAACACGTCTTTGTCCATAGAATGAAAGCCCCTTGAAGGCAAGTACTATATTATTCAATGACTGTTTGTTTATTTATTTGAATACTCTAAACTTATTGGGCATCTTATATCAAATCCTCTGCAAAATACACAGATACTTGCTTCTAAACAGAATTTGAAAATTTAAAACCTAGTCACAGTCAGTTACAATTCTATTACTATATTATACTGTACCAACACAAGTATTATAGCAGCTTATAAATTTTCTTATTAGCTGTTATATGGTAGAATGTCATATTAGTTTCAATAGACAGAAACTCAATAATTTAAACCAAAATATCCCTGGGGATGATTATATGTGGATAAATTCTGAAGCAAAATAAATAGTTCAAGTATCTCCCAAATTATCTCAACTAAAAGAAAAAAACCTAAAAAAACTGTTTTTAAAGTATTCTAAGGAAAATTTAAAATTAGCGGACTCACAGGTCCCTGGATGGCACAAATGGTTTGCACTCGACTACAACCTAAAAGTTGGCAGTCCTGTGGAAGTCAGGCAAGAAAACCCTATGGAGCAATTCTACTCTGTAATGCATGGGGTTGCCATAAGTCGACATCAACCTGACGACAAAAGGTTTGGTTTTTTGGTTTAGTAGACTCTCATTAGACTATAAAGATCCTGCGCTGTATAAAAATACAAGGCATACCCTTCTAATTCTTCATATAGCTTTTAGAAAAGATTACATATATTCAGAAATTCATCTATTTTTCTTTTCAAAGAAAAAATACGTTCAACTTTAATTCATAAAAACAAGAAATTTGAATCTAACCAATAACTGTCTATGAATACATCACCTCAATGTTGATAACATCAAGTGAAATGTAAACTTCATGAGAATATGCACTCTAAAAGAAAAAGTTATGTACACATAAAAGCAACTATGTTGTTGTTGCTGATTGCTGCTAGTTGATTTCAACTCATGGTGACCCCAAGCGCGTAGAAAAACCAACATTACTAAATTAACATCATTCTTAAAATATCTGTATTTAAAGATTTCCTAGTAATGGCTAACTACGTTAAATAAAGAAGTTCGTCAAAATAACTTATAAAACAACCAAAAAACCCACTGCCCTCAAGTCGACTCTGACTCATAGCGAACAGGTGACTCAATTACACCCTTCTTATTTTCCTCTTTATTCATTACTTAGCTCCATAGAGTTTTCAAGGTTGTGACCTTTAGGAAGCAGATTGCCAGGCCTGTCTTCCAAAGTGCCTCTATAGCAAGTGCATAATCTATTTAAACTTTATATATATAAATGATTCAAACAACTAACAATTTGTAAACTTTTTCCCAAAAGTTTTTTGAACTAATATTTGCAATAAGCTTAATTTAAATATCTAAATAATATTCCCCAAATATTCCATGTGTGGCATTATTCGTTGCAAAAATTAGAAAAATACTATACATGCTTACTTCTAGCTTAAGTTGACAATGAAGATTTATTAGGGAACTCCAGTTTTTGCCTTCCCCTGAAAAACGTGACTTTGCCAAAAGCATAGGCACTGTTCTATGACCAATTCCAGCCTCCAGAACTATGAAAATAGAATCAATGTTCATTTTTATCATCTCTCCTTTGGGTACCAATTCAGTTGTGGGGGCTGTGTTTTCAGCTTCATCTGGTTCTTCAAGGAACCACATTTTTAAATCCTTTGTATCCTTCTTTTCCCATAATTGTGCTGCAGAAGAAGTAGTTTCTTTGGGAATGGTTTCCTTAGCTGTAAAAAGTGCTGAAGTTATGGTAATCACGGTGTTTATGATAACTGGTGAAACCTAAGGGGAAGAAAATTAAACTAATAAAAAATCTACACATATCACTTTCAAAGATACTTTAAAAAATATTAAATGTATTTGCTGAAGGATCACCAACATTAATATCATGAAAGAATAGATACAACTTACTGCCTACAAAAAAATTTCAATTATCATAATCAATTTCAATTTGTTAAAATATTACATGATTATCCCAGATATTAAACTGATCTAGTGTAATAACAACTACACACACTACAGGAATGCTGGATGTTGAAACTAAAGAAGGAGTCAAACACCAATAATAGAGGATAACATTCATTATAAAATACATATTAAATAATATTTTCAAAAACAAGCTTCATTTTTTTTGCTTACTTAACAATGCAAAGACTTGCTATAATAAATTACTTGTTTTAAGCTTTACTGATTAAAGAAAAAGTGCACTAAAGAGCTGAATGATAATATTTTAACTTACCTTTAGTGTCAGGGATTTTACTGACATATCAATCACTTGCGGGCCTGTACCCATCTGAGTAGCCTGATAAAATAAGTCACAGGGCTGCAAAACCTGTATGAGAGAAAAACCAATATTACTAAATTAACATCATTCTTAAAATATTTGTATTTAAAGACTTTCCCAGTAACGGCTAACTATGTTAAATAAAGAAGTTCGCCAAAATAACTGTTTATAAAACAACCAAAAAACCCACTGCCCTCAAGTCGATTCTGACTCATAGCGAACAAGTGACTCAATTACACACTTCTTGTTTTCCTCTTTATTCATTACTTATAATAAATAGAGTCTTAACAATAGTATTAGGAAAAATATTAATATAACGAATTATGTAAAACCATTTTTCAGCATGAAAAACATAAACCTTGTATTAATGTATTACATTTTATTGGCACTTAATAAATTAAAAATTTATCATGGATTTTCTTCCATTTTAAAAAGGCTAAGATATTACTAGAGAGCAAAATACAAACAGGAAGTGAGTCAAAAGCAAATGGCCAACATTTCAAACAGCTCACTGACAAAAGCAAAAACAAAAATCCACAACAAAAACATCCAGTTAGGAGAATAAAAAATAAAAATAAGAAAACCGAAACAGCCCGGTAAGCAACTGGTGGGAAGTCTTAAAGGCCAAGGAGAAGTTTGGGATTGACGTGGTAGAAAGTCAGAGTGAGGTCTTTACTGAAAACTGTCAAGTTGAAACTGAACCCTTAACGAGACTATTCCAACATACACGTACAAGACAGATAACAATGAAGAGCAACTGAAAGTATGAAAGAGTTTCAAAGGTCATGTAATAGTAATCTAAATTAGGTTTTCAAAGCAGAAGAAAGGTATCTTACAGAGAAAGGTTGGAAAGTATGTGGGTACTTTTAATTTCCTAAAGTGGTATATACTAAATTCAAAATAAAATTTATCATTAAGCAGATAATTAAAAACAAGACTCACAGTAGTTACATTGTCTTTTCTCTTGACTGGAAGAAATGGGCATGCTTTCACTTGGAAATCTTTAATGGCAGCAGTCATTGTATTGTTTTCAAGTTCGCCTTTCCAACAAATTTCACACTGTGTGGTAATGACTAAGGCCGGGGCATCATTTCTTGTCATGTCAGCCACAAACACAAATTCAGGATTTTTAATCATAGTATTAATTTCCCATTTCTCTGATTGCCCTACAGGCACTAAAATATGAATAAAAATAAATGTAACGTTTTAAAATACATATAACTATTTGCTATTCACATTGTTTAGGAGAACTTTACAATTTATGGGAAAATGTTCTGATTCTAAGTAAAAAATAAAGTAAAAGAATCTTAGATCCCACAGTAAATCTACTGCAACTCTTTTAATAAAGACTTGAAGAAGCTGTAGCCAAAAAATGCAGGAAAAAATCTCTACTATTTAAAGGCAGAACTGGACTAGAATCCCATTCCCATCTCTGAACTTGATGCTCTTTCTACTATACCACAATGAATGAAATAAGTAAAAAAGACAATAAAAAACTATATGCTAAAGTAGAAATGAATACAAAAAAATAAATATGAGCACTTTAAATTAAAATATTATCTTTAATTATGAAAAGGAGTGGTAGGTTCATTATTTTCCCCGTTTGTTTTCTTCCATCAACTAATTTTTTCAAATTACTGCCTGCAGAGAAGGACAATTAGTTATTTTAATATTTATTTATTATATTTAATAGTTATTTAATATATAGTCACACCTTAAAAATAATACAAACTGCACATCTTTTCAAAAAACACATATAGGCTTTCTACTTATCTTGAAAAATAAAGATTTTAATTTATTAATGTACTTACCCTGATCATCTGGAAGGCTAATTAAAGTAAGTGCTGATATAGCAATAATAGAAGTACTAAATATTTGTTCCAATAACTAACCTTCTTCCTTAGAAGACCATGCTTGAACACTGGTTTCTACAGCAGTGCCTGTGCTGTAGGCCTCAAGAAAGACATTTGCAACTGTCGTCAGAAATTCCACACTTGCACAAATATACATTTCCTGAAAGACTAAATCAGACACCCAACCATCTCTGACTCGCTTGTACCGTACATCCATCATGTCCTTTCTGTCAAACCCAACTGTCAGTCCTATCATTCTGAAAGACACAATAATAATTCCTATGTATGAGTCACCTAACAAATAACCAAACATTCCAATAAATCTCAGTAAGACCTCTTATACTTTTCATTGACAGCCAATCAGCATTGTGAAGTCATGCCTCCTGGGAAGATCTACAAAGTGTTCCAAATAATGGACTTACAGACTTCTAGAAAATGACTGTTTTATAAATTAGGAAGTATCTTTAAGAAATTATCAGAAGTTTGAATTTCAGCATATTTTCTTCTCGTTTTTTTAGTATTATTTCCACTAAAATTTGCATGGGCTAACAATAGTAATTTATATCAGCCCTGGTGACATAGTGGTTAAGAGCCTGGCTGCTAACTAAAAGGTCAGTTCAAATCCACCATCCGCTCCTTGGAAACCCTATGAGGCAGTTCTACTCTATCCTATAGGGTTGCTATGAGTCGGAATCAACTCGACAGCACATAACAACAACAACATCAGAGCTGACTGGGTACCATGACTCAGATGAACTGAAGCTTTGAAGATCTTAGGATGTAACCAGAAGATGAAGATGCAACTTTGGGGATAGGTTCTGTAAAATAATCAACCATTTCTCACGTTAAACCTCAGAACACTACTGCAATACATACCTAGGAGTTGCCTTCTTGACATGAGGCCTCTTATCATCTAAAATACAGTTTTTTAATGAGAAAGAAGAAAACGTTGAGTCATCCGTATACATTTTTAAAGTACTTATAATATTCTCCAATCTAAACTCAGCAAGTTGCAGAGAAGGATCACGAACATCTGTAAAGGAAGTCTGTGGAAGAGGGAATCAATACAAAAAAATACATAAAAACATAGGTCTGATGTATATTTTAAGCAATAAACTCCTACATAGTACTGTCTCCTCTTAAACATCAAAATCCTCTATCTCCAAAGGGTTTGCTAATAAAAAGCCAAAAAAAGGAAAAAAAACTTTAAAAAATTTCTCGCTCACATCATTGGCTATGTGAAGGATAACTCGTTTAAATGGGAAATGGTTAAAATTATTTTACAATTAATTTAAAATAGAAAGATCACCCATATTTCTCAGAGGAACAGATACTACAAACTATACATGAAATATTAATAATTACTATTTTGGTACACATTCTCTACATAATTTTTACCAGTTGAAAGCATATTTTGTCTTTTTCCTTGGCTTACCTGTTCAGGACCTGGACTATACAGTACCATGGTGAGATAGTCTGTCTTGAAACTCATATTTATTGTTGTCTTAACTTGAGAGGCATATGAATGTACTTCTACCACAGCAGCTGTCACCACAGTTGTTCCTTGGAAAAATTAAATTTGTTGAATTAAAAAAAAAAATCATAAAATGTAGCTCAATAAAACAGCCTTAAAATAGATTTAATAGCATTATTAATTAAATGGGTATAACCAAAAAACAAACCCATTGTCGCTGAGTCGATTCTGACTCATAGCAACCCCACAAGACAGAGTAGAACTGCCCTATGGGGTTTCCAAGGAGTGGCTAGTAGATTCAAACTGCCAACCTTTTGGTTAGCAGCTGAGTTTGTAACCACTGCACCACCAGGGCTTAGTAAAATGATATTCAGCAAAATTAACAAGGATTTGAAAATGCAGATGTTGAATTCAGAAACCGCTTAGTCCTCTTTATATCATAACACGGGAATATTAATTAAGCACTTGATCCTTCCATTTCCTCTTGACAATAGTGTTTTTGGCTATTCATAGTCCTTAGCATTTCCACATAAATTTTAGAAGTAATCTTTCAATTTCTATAAAAAGAAAAAAACTGATTGGGATTATGCTGGCTTTACAGATCAATTTTGGGAAAATTGACAGCTTAACAATACTAAAATATTTCTGTCCATGAACATGGTTTATCTCTCCATATATTTGAATCTTTCGTTTCTCTCATTAGTATTTGGTAGTTTTTAGTGTAGAGGTCTTGCAAGATTTTTGTTCAACATCTTCCCAAGTATATTGTGTTTTTTAAATGCTATTGCAAATTATATTTTAAAATTTTTCTTTTCTAATTGTTACTTATAAATTGATTTTTATATATTAAACTTATATACTGTTAAAAATTGCTAAGTTCTTTCATTAGTTCTAAAATACTTTTTTTTCTTTTTTGAAGTTTCTTAGGATTTTTTATGTAGACAATCATGCTGTCTGAGGAAAAAAAAGGAGTTTCTACTCTTTAGGCATTTTAATCCTTTTCCTGGTCTTATTGCTCTGTCAATGACCTTCTTTTAAAAAAAGTTGAAAAGGAATGGTGATTACGGACTTCCTTGTTTTGTTCCTATTTTAGATATTTAGACATTTCTAATTTTTACCATGAATAAGTGCTGAATTATGTTGAATGCTTTTACTGCATCTATTGAGGTGGTCATATGAGTTTTCTCCTTTGTCAGTACAGGAAATTATATGATTTGACTTTTGAATGTTAAAGCAACTTTGTATTTTGGAGATAAATCTCACTTATTCTAGACGAATTAGTATTTTTATTTATTGCTGTATTCAGTTTGCTTTCTCTTGTTAAGAATCTTGTATCTGTGTTCATGAGGGATATTGGTCCTTAACAGCCTTTTCTTGAAATGCCTCTGTCTGATTTTCGTGTCAGAGTTATTGTTTGATTTATAAAATGACTAGGGACGTGTTCCCACCTCATCTAGAGTTTGTGTAACTCTGGTATAATTTCTTCTTTAAATATTTAATAGAATTCACCAGGGAAATCATCTGGGCCTTGATTCTTCTTTGTGGGAAAGTTCTTTGTTTTTTTTACAAATTCAATTGCTTTAATACATACAGCACTACTCTGATTTTCCATTTCTTTTTATGCCAGTTTTGGCAACTTCTGCTTTCTGAGAAATTTGTACACTTCATCCAAGTTAAAGAATTTATTATAAAATTATTCATAAAATTCTCTCATTATCCTGGTAGTGATCTCTATTTAATGATGATACCGGTAATTTGTGCTTCCTTTTCTCTCTCTTTCTCTGTCTCACATCAGTCTTGATAGGGGGTTATGAATTTTATTAATCTTCCCCAAAAAACAAGATTTGGCTTTTTTAATTTTCTCTATTATTCGTCTGTTTCTCTTGCATTCATTTCTACTCTTCTCTGTATTAGTACTTGTTTTTTATTTATTTTGGGTTTAATTTGTTCTTCCTTTTCCATATTTTTGAGGTGATTTCTTTGATTTTAAACACTTTTTCTTTTCTAACATAATCTTTTAAGCCACAATTTCTTTCAGTACTGCTTTATAACATCCGACAAATTTTGATATGCTTTATGCTCATTATCATTCAATTCAAGTGACTTCTAATTTCTCTTGTCATTTCTTTTTTGACTCATCAGTTATTTGGAAGTTGTTTAATATCCACATATTCAAGTTTTTTGATACCCTATTATTACTGACTTCTAACATAATTCCATGTGTTAGAAAACTTTATGGGCCAGAGTACAGTCTATCTTTGTGAACATTCCAGAAGCCCTTAAAAAAAATGGGTATTCTGCAATTGTTGGGTATATTATTATACTAATGACAATTAGGTCAGATTTCTTGATTGTTGTTTCTTTGTGCTGTTGAGTCAATTCTGACTCATAGGGACCCTATAGGAGAGAGTGGAACCACCCCGTAGGGTTTTTTAGGCTGTAATCTTTATGGGAGCAGATTGCCCGTTCAAATCTTCTACATTCTTTCTAATTTTTTTTTTCTCTATATTCTACCAAATACTAAGAGTGGTGTGTTACAATTCGCAATTATGATTCTGTGTATGTCTATTTTCCCATTTAGCTCTGTCAATTATTGTTGAATATATTGTGAAGCTCCATTATGGGGTACATACACATATAGGATTATTTTATCTTCTTGGTGAACTGACCCCTTTATCATTACTTTAAAAATCAAAAAACAAAAACTTATAAAGAGATATTTATGAGAAAATAAGGAGACACCTGAACCCTTACTGGATATTTCATGGTTTTAAGGAAGTACTGCTAATTTTTTAGGGCTGATAATGGTACTATACTTTAATAATAAAGTCTTTATTGCTTATAGAAAAATGCATAACATCTGGGATTTGCCTTAAAATAATCCACGGAGTAGGGGTAGGGGAAAGAGGAGGAGGATTACAGCAGTAACAAAATCAGCCGTATGTTAGTAATTGTTAAAATTTGGCGAGGGGTACATGTGGGTTCATTACCTTATTCCCTCTATTTTGGTGTATGTGTGAAAACTTCCAGTAGAAAATGATTAATATATTTAAACCTCTATTTCTTGTTCTATCAATTTTAGACATTACCTTTTCACTCCCCACAATGGAAGCTGAAGATATTTATGTCCTTAACGTTTCCTCCATGTGTCCTGCCTTCTTCTTCTCAGCTTTGATCAGTTATGTTTTTACTTTTATATTATCATGGTCAATAATATTTACATTCTCATTTACATAGTAAGTATATCATATGCTGTTTAACCATGACTATGTAAATATTTTAACAACAATGAAACAGTGCATTACTTAAAAAAAGAAGAGCTCCCCTCCTCTCACATTCCAACAATTCAAAATTTAGTCTGCTTCATTTCTGCAACATGACACATAACAGAAATTTCTACTTAACAAGAGAAAATATGAATTCTTCCTCATATCACTTAGGTAATGTAGTCATTTCCTCATTCTACATATTATATGACACTCTATTTTTCTTCTTCAAGACATTATCCCTTTTTTTTTTTTCCCTTAAAGCATTTGGAATTCTTTTTTAATGAACACCAATTACCTTCTAGCTCAGTCATACATGTAATTCTGTGATTCCTTGTCAATGTACTCCTGGGTAGGTCCACTGTGTTTGGATCTATGTCTTCCTCTTTCCTGGATTCCTTGTTTGTTTGGCTGGAATATAATTTCAAACTAATTTTTTTAGGAATGGATATGAGGGAAGTAACTTTGAGTCATTGAAAATCTGAGAATGATTTTCATATCTGGATAAAAGTTTGACTGTGTATAGAATCCTAGCTTCAAAGTCATTTCCCTTAGAATTCTGAATGGAGTACTTCACTGTCTTCCGTCATTCAGCCATCCAGTTTTGTTAATGGTAAATCTCAGTTCAATCTTTTCTTTTCTAGGTCCCTAATAAGTAGCCTGTTTCTTTTCTCTGAAACTTTAAAAATCTTACCTTTGTTGTTCTGACATTGCAAGAAAATGTGTTTGCATGGAGAGTCTTTAATTATCCAATCTGCTTGGAACTCAGGGGATACTTTACATATAAAGAGTTAGCTTAAATATTTACTTAGCTCTGGGGAGTTTTCTTCTATTATTTCTTTTCTTCCATTTTCTCAGTTTTTTCTCTTAAAATACTTATTATTTAGGAATTTAACCTTCTGAAGTGAAGCTCCATCACTCTTCAGTTTTATTACATTTTCCATCTCTGTACTCTTTTTTTTTTTCCTTCTATGTCATGGGAGATTACATCAACCATATGTTCCAACCGAGTATTACTTCTAACTCCATGCTTAGTAGGGTTTTTTTTTTTGTTTGTTTGTTTGTTTGAAGTTCAACAATCATATTTTTATTTTCCAAGAACTCTTTCCTATCCTCAAATTCTTTTTTTTTGGTGGGGGTGGGGGTAGAGCAGGTAGGTAGGGTCCAGTTCTCATATCATCTTCTGAAAATCCTCTAAGAATATGAATTAGAGTTAGCTTTTTTGTTTATTCACATTCTCTTCTGGTCTCTCAACTGTCTCCATTTCCTCAGGAAACACTATTCTGATTATCGTTGTTCCTTTTACGCTCGGTGTCTTATAATTTTCTTCATATCTGTTACATTAGTCTCACCGTTCATGTTCAATAATAAAGGACTGGTATGATTATTCTAGCTAGAAAAGATGGAGTTTCCTGTAATATTGCAAAGGTGGGTTGCTTCTCCGCTAGGGTTTTCCCTGACTGGAAAAACTGTAATATCTCAGGGCTTTGCATGGGAGGGGGACCTTATGGATTAGGAGGTGTCACTCTGGGGTGTGTAATGCCAGAATAAGGAGACCTTTATTCTTGTAAAGTAAATTCATCTTAGCAGTCCTAATTTCCTCAAATCTTTGTATGTGGTCATGCTCAACCCAGAACCCAGCCAGGTTCCACATGTCACACAAGATCCAACATTGGATGCACCCCTTTTCTGAGTTATAGTTCTCTCTGCTCTGTTCTATCTTTCTGTCTTCCAGGTACCTGCAGAAATTCATGATCCATTAATGATCATCCTCTCTTGATACCTCTAATATTATGATACTCCTAATAGCAATAGAGAATATTCCATCCGGGGTATATGTTACACAAAGGAAAATGGAGGAGGGAGGAAAAAAGGAGGAAAATTGAAAATAAAGACCTACAAGGATGTTAGGAAATACAAATAAATACTCAGGAATTTTGTTACAACAGGACTAGGAACTTCAAAAGAAAAACAAAATGAACATAATGACATAGTTAATTCAGAGATGCCTAAATAAAATCAGCTGATTAGAAAAAAACTATAAATCCTATTTTACTCAGAAGTAGAGGAAGAGGAAAGAAGGATGGATGGAATGAAGGGAGGAAAAAAGGAAGGAAGAGAGAGAGAGAAAAGCTAATTTAAGGTTAAGAACATACCTCCTGAATGGTGTGAAGCATTAGTAACTCCACTAGTAACACTAGACTGGTCTTTTATTACAGCAGGGGAGGCACTGTCACCTTTTTCATACCATATATTGCCATACAATGTTTTAAAAATAGTTGTTATATCTTCTTGACTGAGAATGAACTGTTAAAAAATAAGATTTATTTATTTTAACATTAATTTATATAGTTAAAATTCTCATATGAGGAAAATGAAAGATTGTTTCATTTCTACCCTCTACAAAATCAATTTTTGTGTTAAAAAATTTCTAATAACTAGACTAATGGACCACAACTATCATAGCCTCCACCAGACCACTTCCAGCACAACTAGTTGGTGCCCGGCTACCACCAGCAACTGCTCTGACAGGGATTACAATAAAGGGTCCTGGACAGAACTGGAGACGAACGCAGAACAAAATTCTAACTCTCACAAAAAAAGACCAGATTACTGGTCTGACAGAGACTGGAGAACCCCTGAGAGTATGGCCCCTGGACACACTTTTAGCTCAGTAATGAAGTCACTCCTGAGGTTCACCCTTCAGCCAAAGATTAGACAGGCCCATAAAGCAAAATGAGACTAAAAGTGCACACCAGCCCAGGGCAAGGAAGAGAAGGCAGGAGGGGACAGGAAAGCTAGCAACGGGGATCCTAAGGTCGAAAAGTAGAGAGTGTTGACGTGTCGTGGGGTTGGTAACCAATGTCATAAAACAATATGCGTATAACTGTTTAATGAGAAGCTAGTTTGCTCTGTATACCTTCATCTAAAGTACAGTTAAAAAAAAGAAATTCCTACTAACTAAAATTCAGTTTTCTAAATGACCACATGATCTTTAGTACCTTGTGAATTATGCCAATTTCCAATTGCATTAGAAATTTCTACTAACTAAATATTCAGTTTTCTAAATGACCATACAATCTTTTGTACCTTGTGAATTATGTCAATACCAGCAGAGCTACTAATGAAATTTTTTGTTATGAATGTTTCAACTAATCTAGTAATTTTAAATGTTTAAAATGAAGCCTGATCTTTAAGTAGTTGTTCAGCTGTTTTATATACTTTTGGGTAGTAATCACCTCAATTTGCAAATATGTTGCTGTTGTTGACAGCTGCCATCTAATTGGCCCCCGACTCATGGTGACCCCATGCAGTGAAAAATAATACATTATACCTGTATAATGAAAAATGTTTATAATGAATTTTATATGTGTAACTTTATTTGAATGTCACAAAAGCCCCTGAGCTTAAAGCATATAATCCTGGTTTTATAAAATAAAAAGCTGAAGCTTAAATGGTTAAGTAACTTGCTTAAATCTACAAATAAAGAACTCAGAAGAGCAAACTCCAAACCCCATGTGTTACTTAATTTAGCCTAAAATCGATAGCATAAGACCATCTTGACAGCAATCATGTAAAAAAAGACCTATGAGTTTTCTATCTATATGTTAAAGACAGTTTTCTCAAGTCACTTTTGGCTCATTCCTAAATTTAGCAAATTTACTTACATTTCTAGTTGTCATAGCCTCAGGAGGATATTTTCAATCCCAAAAAATTAAACTGTTTTATTTGTGCCAGGCTTCCTTTGAGTGCATTTCAAAGGTGATATTCTAATCTAATGTTTTAAGATTAAATTTATGTGTATCTTATTCATGCTACTTATGTTTTGTAGGTTTTTATCCGTTGTCTTACCAATATTGAGAGACTTCTAATATTTATTTTAAGGAGATACTTTACGTTTGTAGCCCTGGAAATTAAGGAGTCCATATAACCTCAGACACTACAACCTAAAATTTTCGGTTGACATCATCACGGTTTAAATTTCAATATGCTTTTGACTTGGCAGTCTGAAATTTCTAACATGACAGTTTTCTCTTTTTGAATACAATTTTTATAGGCAGAAATAGAAAGGGAAACTGGGGGTGTGGTGTGGGGAAGAGGATTTGTTAATTAGTAGGTTTCTTAAAGAAATCTCCAGAGTACATGTTGCTGTCACTCCATAAAGCATGTGATATAGTCTGATCCCAGTCCAGCCAAGAGTGAAACATAAGAACTTGCATAGAGTACCATTAGAGATCCATGAAGCAATGTCAACCTACAGGGAAGTAAAGCTATGCTTAAGGTGCCATTTTTATCAGCAACCTCTCCATTCTTCTAGGACCTTCTCTTCCTATATATACCTAGTACCTTGTGAATTATGCCAAGGTAAAATTCTCTCTAGGTAATTTTATATTATTCCCAGTGCTTTTAACACCATCTATATCCTGATGATTTCAATTTCCTATTTCCAGCCTAGACCTGTCTACTGAGTTCTACATAAATATAGCCAACTGACTACTGAAATCACCATGTCTAACAGATGTTTGAAACTTAAATCCGAAGCTGAAGTCATGACTTCCCCAACCTTGAAAATCTACTTCTCTCTAGGCCTTTTGAATCTCTGTGAATGACAACATCCATATAGCCACTCAAGCCAGTCATTGTTGTTTCATTTCTTTACCTTCCCATTCCAGCTGCAAATTCTATTTGAGACAAGGGAACCTCAGACCACCAAGAAACAAGAGCTAGGAGAATAGCGCATCCTTTGGATCTGAGGTCCCTGCACTGAGAAGCTCCTAGTCCTGGGGAAGACTGATGACAAGGACCTTCCCCCAGAGCCAACAGAGAAAGAAAGCCTTCCCCTAGAGCTGACACCCTGAATTTGGACTTCCAGCCTTACTAGACTGTGAGAGAATGAACTTCTGTTTATTGACACCATCCACATGTGGTATTTCTGTTATAGCAGCACCACCATCACCACCAACCCCTGCGTTAGACTGGTGAGCTCCATTAAGCAAGAGACTATGTCATAGGTTTTCTGCCACTATAGCTCCAATATCTAGCACACGGCTTAGCACAGAGTAGGCATTCAAATATTTGTTGAATGAATGGAGAACATTAAAATGAATTCTAGGTTAATAGAGCTGCTACTTCAAATTCTGACCAAGATGATTAATTTACAACTTCTTTCCCAAAAATGCTTTATTTATGTCCCCATGCAATATTTTCAACAACAAAACTGAAATCAATAAGCATCCAAAAAGTTACCTCCATGGGCTTTAGCTGAGCATTTACATTAAAACCAGGAACCTCCTGGTACCACTCCCAGGATAAATTTCGCTCAACAACCACCTCAAGATTTAATGGCAGTAGTATATCCAGTACTTCCTGGTATGCATCATTAATATATTGAGACCTATAATTAAAAACAAAATTGTTTTGAATTGTTTCATATACACTCAGATAGTAAAAACATATTAAAAAGGAAGATCAACTTACATTTATCATTTCATAACACAAATAGTAAAAATCAATAGTTTTTTTTTTTTTTGAGTGTGTGTGTGTGTGCATGTAATGAAAAGAAATAAAACCTATCAGGCTTTCCATGTCATAATGAGAGATGTTCTGTCCCACTAAAAACCTAGGTGACCTTCTCTGAGTTGAAGTGTTCCATATGATAGAGAAATGAATTCTTAAAACAGAAATTTGCAATATGTTAAAAACTGGCAAAATACATAATTTAGATAGTAAACCCTTAAAATGAGAATTATCTGTATATAATCTGTAAACAAGCATTATATAAGATCTCATCATAAAAACATTTTTAATTTACTGATTTAGATCTATGGCAAAAGAGCACACACCCTTACTTTATAAAAAACATAAATTTGCACCTTATAAAATTTCTTTTTCTGTGGATCAAAACAAATATGGATAATTTCATATCAAGTTAAACTGTATTTGCCCTTCCAAGAACTTATAAAGGTAGGACTGATGATCAGGAATGAAGAAAAGGGTAATAAGCCACTGAATCCCTTCAAGTAATAATGTGATCATAAAAGCCTCCCATTGTACCTTAATATGACAATGTCCTCAATAAGAGATTTATATTTTAATTGGCAGCAAATCCCTAAACTGGGATATGAAGCTAAGACTGCAGAATTTTAGATATCATTTGCTGAATGGAAGAAAAATATGGTGTCATCAGGGATGTGTTGGGAAGCCTGGTATCAAACCATTTTATGAATTGACTATAAAGTGACACTATTATTTATACATGCATGCATGCTTACAATCTACACTTAATGGTAATAAGGAGTTCTAAAAGCCCTAAATAGGGTATACTGCAAAAACTTAAAACAAGGCCAGAAAATGTCATCCTATAACAATTAAATAAAAATCAACATAAATGGATGTGACCAGTTTACATAGCACTGACAATAATAAAGCATCTCCCAATTCCCCAGTGCCTCCCAAATTGAAAAAAATATATATATATATCTTTGGAACATCTTGTCCTTTATTTATTCTTCCACATGAACTTTACAATAATTTTAGCTGACTTTAAAAAGAAATCCTATTGTGATTTTTATTGGGACTGCATAAAATGTACCAATTAATTTATGAAAAACTGACATCTTTACAATATCAAGTCTAGGAAAATATTCTCTCCATTAATTCAAGATTTCTTTCTGGCTCTTGGGTAAGTTTTACAACTTTACTCATGGAAGTACTGTAAGTATCTTTTAAAAAAAATTTATATTGTAATTAACAGCTCTACAACAAATGACTTTGATATAAAACGCCCTGTTGTTGTCAAGTCAATTCCAACTCAGAACAACCCTGTAAGACAGAGTAAAACTGCTCCATAGGGTTTACAAGGCATGGTTGGTGGATTCAAACCGCCAACCTTTTGGTTAGCAGCCACAGCTCTTAATTACTGAGCACCAGGGCTTGATTTTGATATAGGTGAACACAAATATGAAATAAATTTACTTGTCTTTATGTGCTTTCTGAGGAGTTGTAGGGAAAGTGAATTTTCAAAAAAAAAATTATTTTTAAGTTATTTCAGAGAAAAATGGTTATATTTTTTAACTGACTAATTCTATTTCTAGGAATTCATCCTAAATGAGTTATCTTAAAGAATTGAGTAAACAATCACAAGTATTAGTGAACAATGATATCAACCATTGCTGTTATTTACAACAGCAAAAAAAAAAAATTGAATTGATATAAACTTTTAACAACAGGAAAAAGGATTTTTTAAAACTGTAGAATAAAATGAAATATTCAGAATAAATTATGTGCACAAAGTAACAACATGGAAAAATACTAATAACATATTGTTAAGGAAAAAAATTTATAACACAAAACGTACAATGTAATTCCAATTTTACTTAGATTAAATATATATGCATATATAACAAACTAGAAGAAAAGATATCAAATTATTAGTAGTTATCTTTGGGTGGTCATATTGTCAGTAATTTCTTATTTTCTTCCTAACACGATTCTATGTATCTCAATTAAAAATATATATACTTTTAGACAAAAAAATGACAAATATTATGAGTTAATGCTCTAGAGAAATTCAGTAAATTCTTTTTAAAGCAAAAAATCTTTTTAATACAGACCCACATCTAATTTACATCTACCATCTTTTGAAATCACACAAGGTGTGATTAAATATAGATATACAAATATTCCATTTTTAGTAAGTTCAGATTTGTTACACAGTTTAAACTACAGGTTAATAAACTACCTGAATTTTAAGATTATTACTCTCTCTATATTTTTGTTGTCAGTTGTCTTTGAGTTGGCGCCAACTCATGGTGACCTTATGTTCAACAGAACGAAACTTTGCCTGGTCCTATCCGTCTTCATTGTTGGGATGTTTGAGTCCATTGTTGTGGCTACTGTGTCAATCCATTTCACTGAGGGTTTCCCTCATTTTCATTGCCTATTACTAAAATAGAAGTCTCATACCTCAGTATTATCCTGTAATTTCTGCTGAAGAAATTATTCTACATTTTCTAATATCTTTATTTAATGTATGATTTGTTTCTTATCTTAACTGAAATCTAGCTCCCCATGGAGTTCTCTTTAATAGAGGACAATTTTTGTCCAACACCCTACCTATCTCAGGGTCAAAAGATGAGAATCATTTTTCTTGGCCAAAAATTTTCTAAATTTAAATGAAAACTATAAACCAACAGATGCAAGAATCTAAATGAGCCCTAAGCACAAGAAACATAAAGACAACTACAGCAAGGCCAATAATAATCACATTGCTCAAAACCAGTGATAAAGAGAAAATCTTAAAAGCAGTCAGACAGAAAAAAAAAAAAAAAACCACTAGAAAATGAAGAACAAAGATATAGACATCAGCAAATTCTGTCAGAAAGAATGTAAGTGAGAAGGCAGTAGAATAATTTTTTTTTCCTTTTCTTTTTTTTGATTGTACTTTAGATGAAGGTATAAAGAGCAAATTAGCTTCTCATTAGACAATCAATACACATATTGTTTTGTGACACTGGTTGCCAACCCCACAACATGTCAACACTTCCACCTTCTCAACCTTAGGTTCCCCATTACCAGTTCTCCTGTCCACTCCTGCCTTCTTGTCCTTGCCCCAGAGCTGGTGTGCTTATTTAGTCTCACTTGAGCGGAACAAATTCTTTAACAGTACAAAAAGAATAAAGCTGTCTATCTAGAATGTGGTCTCTGACCAAAAATATCTTCCAAAAACAAAGGCAAGTAAAGGCATTTTGAGACATATACAAACTGAAAGAATTCATCTCCATCAAACTCACACCACAAGAGATGTTAAAGAACTCCATTCAGGAAGAAGGAAAATGACAGATGAAATATGGATCTAGACAAAGGCAGAAAGACCATCATAAATAGTAACTACATGGAAAAATACATAAGATTTTTCCGATTATGTGAATCTTTCTGAAAGATAATTGACTGAACAAAAATATACAGGGAGATTTATACATATTTGTAAAAGAAAAATGCATGACAACAATAGCATAAAGGCTGTAAGAGAACAGATGTGTATAATTCTAAGACTGTCAAGGGGTATAATTATCACTTGAAGGTAGTTTTTTTCTCACTGATTTTTTGTTGTTATTGTTGTTGAGAATATACACAGCAGAACATACACCAATCAACAATTTCAATACCTACAATTCAGTGACACTGATTATATTCTTCATGTTGTATGACCATTCTCACCCTCCTTTTCCAAATTCCTCCTCCCCCATTAAGATAAACTTACCGACCCCTAAGCTTCCTATCTAACTTTTCGAGTTGCTGTTGTCAGTTTGATCCCTGATAGATAGTTCTTAAAAGAATGCAATGCTCAAGGCAGATATTCTTTACCAGTAAAGCTAAACTACTACTTGGTTTTAAGAAGACTTCAGAAGACATTTTTGGTTTAAGGTTTAAGGCTTAACTATTATCTCTGGGCAACAGTTTTGGGGTTCATCCAGCCTACATGGTGCCATGAAATTTTGGATTCCATGAAGTTTTAAATTCTGTTCTGCATTTTCCCCCTTATGATTGAGATTCTTCCAAAGACCCTTTAATCAAATATTCAGAAATAGTAACCTTTCATGAGTCCAGGATGCATATTCTAAGCAACCACTGAATTAAAAAAGCAAAGAATAATAACTGATAAGCTAATAAAGGAAATAAAATGCAATCACAAAAACATAGTCAATTAGTCCAAAAGAAGGCAGAAAAAGAGAAAAAGAGGAACAAACAACGGATGATAAAAAATATAAAATAGCAAGATGATATACTCAAACCTACCCTATCAAAAATTACATGAACGTAAATGCTCTCAACACCCCCAATTGAACAGCAAAGACTGTCAGATTGGAAAAAATCAAATCTCACTATATACTGTCTACAAGGAACCCACTTTAAGTATAAGGCATAAATAAGATAAAAGTAAAAGCTGGAAAAAGATATACCATGCTAACACTGGTCAAAAGAAAGCTGGGACGGTTATACTATCAGACAAGGTAGATGTTGGAAAAAGGAATATTACCAGGCACATAGAACATTAAATAAAAATATATGAGTCAGTTTGACAAGAAAAATAACATAATATCAAATTAATAGGATGGCCCCAAAATACAGCTATCAAATACGTGAAGCAAAAACTGATAGAAGAAACTGAAATGCTCATACATTGCTGTTGAGGATTTAAACTGGTAAAGCCACTTTGGAAAAAAGTTTGGCAGTTCCTCAAAAAGTTTAACATAGACAGAACATCTAGAAAGAAGACCAGCAAGGAAACAGAGGACCTGAATGATACTATAAACCGACTAGACTAAACAGGCATATACAGAACACTCCACCCAAAAAAAACCACAATATACATTCTACTCCAGTATACATGGA